CTTCTGTGAAATACTTTCTTTTCAAAAATATACATCTTTTGTTCAAACATACACATTTTCTTAAATCTTACACCTTTTTCTGAAAATGGTTACACCTTCTCTGAAAAGTTACTTCTTTTGTAAAATAAACTTTGCATAAAAGTTACACATTTTGTGAATCGAAGACTTAGAATATTTTTGAAATCATTTACACCTTCTGTGAAAAACATAAATCTTTTTGAAAAGTTACACCTTTTGTGAAATAAATTTTTTCATACAATTATACCTTTTGCTAAAAACATACACCTTTTCGTGCAAATACATACACATTTTTCTGAAAAGTTGCTTCATTTGTAAGTTAATATTTTCCATAAAATTTACACCTTTTATGAAAGTTTTGGTTTCATAAAATTTATACCTTTTGTGAATCCTTACACTTTTTCTGAAAGTTTAAACCTTTCAGTGGATGTACTTACACCATTTCTGAAAAGTTTTGTAAATATTTTCCCCAAAAGGTGTACACTTTTAGAAAAAATGTAAGTTTTTAACAAAAGGTGTAAACATTATGAAAACATATTTTCATAAGAAAGTGTAAATTTTCAAAAACCGTGTAACTGTTTTCACAAAAGATTTAAGTTATGTCACAAAATGTGTAACTTTTGATTTTGGAAAAGGCGTAAGTCATATAAAAAGTATTTCACAACATGAGTAACTTCTCAGAATGGGTGTAAGTTTTTAAGAAAATGTGAAAATTTTCAAAAAAGATGTAGCTGTTTTCACAAAGGATGTAAGTTATGTCACACAAAGTGTAACTTTTATTTTCAAAAAAGATGTAAGTTCTAATAAGAGGTGTAAATTTTAATGAAAAAATTATTTCACAAATGGAGTAACTTTTTAGATTACGTGTAAGTATTTCCAACAAAAGGTGTGAACTTTAAGAAAAGGTGTAAGTTTTTTTTAACAAAATGTGTATATTTTATGAAATGTAGTTTTCCATAAAATGTGTAAATTTTTTCACAAAAGATGTATGTAATTTGACAAAAGGTGTATGTTCTGTTTTCAGAATGGTGTAACTTCAAATAAAAGGTGTGAATTTTTGTATTGAAATTATTTTACAAAAGAGGTAACTTTTCCGAAAAGGTGTAAGTATTTGAACGAAAATGTGTAAATTTCCAAAATAAATTATTTCACAAAAAACTATAATCTTCCAGAATTACTGTAAGTGTTTTCACAAAAGATGAAATTAACTTCAAAAAAGGTGTAAGTTCCGTTTTTTTGCAGAACGAGTCAGTTGCTACAACGCAATCAAACTGTATTTGTGTTGTTCATGGTTCGATATCAATATAGACAGACAGAGACGAAAGGAGGGAGAGAGACGGACCGATATTGACAGATAGAGACTGAGATAGGCATGGTTAGACAGAGAGAGACGAACCCAAATCGACACAGACAAACCAAGATCGATATTTGAACGAAAATGTGTAAATTTCCAAAATAAATTATTTCACAAAAAACTGTAATCTTCCAGAATTACTGTAAGTGTTTTCACAAAAGATGAAATTAACTTCAAAAAAGGTGTAAGTTCCGTTTTTTTGCAGAACGAGTAAGTTGCTACAACGCAATCAAACTGTATTTGTGTTGTTCATGGTTCGATATCAATATAGACAGACAGAGACGAAGGGAGGGAGAGAGACGGACCGATATTGACAGATAGAGACCGAGATAGGCATGGTTGGACAGAGAGAGACGAACCCAGATCGACACAGACAAACCAAGATCGATACAGACAGAGATCGGCAGACAGAGAGAGCTCAGATAGACATGGTTCGACAGAGAGAGGCAGACCCAGATCGACACAGACAAACGAAGATCAATACAGACAGAGATCGGCAGACAGAGAGAGCCCAAATAGACATGCTTCGACAAAGAGAGACGGACCCAGATCGACACAGACAAACCAAGATCGATACAGACAGAGATCGGCAGACAGAGAGAGAGAGAGACCGACATCGACAGAGAAGAGCCAGAGATGGACAAAGAGAGACCAAGATGGATAGAGACAGAAAAATCCTTTGATTTGCACCAGCGGCGGTGGCAATGTCAGTCGACGGTGGGCAACGGTGGGCCGCGACGGTTGGTTGGTCGATGGTGATAAAATTTTCAACGTATAAGTCGTCGATAAAATTTAGAACTTCTTTAGGAACTTATATCTTTTGTAAAAACGAAACATTCAGCTTGATTGTATCACTAAGTTTACACCTATTCCTAAATTTTATACCTTTTCTAAAAATTTACACATTTTTGTGGAAATATTTACAACTTTTTTGAAAAATTACACATTTTGTGGCAAAACCTTTTTTATAAAATTTACACTTATTATTTGAAGTTACACCTTTAGTGAAAAACAAAACTTACATCTTTTCTAAGGTCATTTACACCTTCTTCGGAAAAACATACACCATATTTGAAAAGGTTATACCTTTTGTCAAATAATTTCTTTTAACAAACTTTATCAAAGCATATTTTCCATAAAACGTGTAAATTTTCAAAAAATGTCTAATTGTCTTCACCAAAGATGTAACTCCTATTTAAAAGGTGTAAATTTTAAAAAAAAAATTGTTTCACAAAAGGAGTACCTTTTCAAAAGAGGTGTAAGTTTTTAAAATAATGTGTGAACTTGATGAAAACATATTTTGCATAGAATGTGTAAATTTTTGAAAACGGTTTAAGTGTTGCTAGCAGAAATGGTGTAATATCCCATAAAAGGTGTAAATTTTATGGAAAAAGTTATTCACAAAAGCAATAAACATTCAGAAAATGTGTAAGTATTCCCAGAAAAAGGTGTAACCATTCAGAAAAGGTTTTTGTTTTTAACAAAAGGTATAAATTTTATGCAAATATTCTTTCCATGAAAGGTGCATATTTTCAAAAACTTGTATGTGATTTTCACAAAAGATCGAAGTTATGTCACAAATGGTGTAACTTCCCATTAAAAGTGTAAATTTTATGGAAAATATAATTCAGATTTCCATAAGAAAAGGTGTAAGTTCTAATGAAAGGTGTATATTTTCTCGAAAAATTGTTTCACAAACATAGTAACTTCTCATAAAAGGTGTAAACTTTTAGAAAACATTTAAGTTTTTAAAAAAATGTGTAAACTTTATGAAAACATATTTTCCATAGGTATAAATTTTTTCAAACAAGATATAAATTATTTGACAAAAAGCGTAAGTTCGGTTCTTAGAAAAGGCGTAAGTTCCAATAAAATGTGTAAATTCTTTTAATAACATTCTTTACAAAAGTAGTAACTTCTCAAAAAAAGGTGTAAGTATTTCAACGAAAATGTGTAAATTTTATAAAATAAATTATTACACAAATGTGTAACCTTCCACAAATAGTGTAAGTGCTTTCACAAGAGATGTAAGTAACTTCGCATAACGTGTAAGTTTCGTTTTTTCACAAAACGTGTAAGTTCCTAAAATCCAATCAAACTGTATTTGTCTTGTTCAAATAATGGCAATGTGAGAGAGAAGGGCGTTTCGAAGGGCTTGGTCTTTCTCTCAGTAGAAGTCCGTTTCAGAGAAGACGAGTTTGAGAAGGCTTGGAATAGCGACGTCGAGCCCAAATCCAATTAAGTATGTCAATGTGAAAGAAAACCGTTTTTAATATAGAGCAAGGGACAGAGAGAGAGAGAGAGAGAGAGAGAGATGGACTGAGATCGACAGATATAGAGACCTAGATGAACAGTGATCGATGTTTTCACAAGAGATGTAAGTAACTTCGCATAACGTGTAAGTTTCGTTTTTTCACAAAACGTGTAAGTTCCTAAAATCCAATCAAACTGTATTTGTCTTGTTCAAATAATGGCAATGTGAGAGAGAAGGGCGTTTCGAAGGGCTTGGTCTTTCTCTCAGTAGAAGTCCGTTTCAGAGAAGACGAGTTTGAGAAGGCTTGGAATAGCGACTTCGAGTCCAAATCCAATTAAGTATGTCAATGTGAAAGAAAACCGTTTTTAATATAGAGCAAGGGACAGAGAGAGAGAGAGAGAGAGAGAGATGGATTGAGATCGACAGATATAGAGACCTAGATGGACAGTGATCGACAGAGACAGCCAGATCGAGATCAACAAACAGGGACCGAAATCGACAGAGAAGAGACCCACATGGACACAGACAGACCAAGATCGCTGGAGACAGACCGAGATAGACAGGGATCGACAGAGAGAGACCGACATCGATGGAGAATAGGCTGACATCGACAGAGAGAGACCAAGATCGATAGCGAGAGAGAAAAAAAACCTTTGATTTGCAACAACGGTGGCCGTGGAGGTGGCGATGTCAGACGGCAGTGAGTACCAGAGGCCACCGACGCTTAGGTAGCCAGCGGGGGTCAGGATTGGTGGTGACTATTCTGTGTGCGTATGAGAGAGAACAGAGAAGGTGTTGGTGGGAAACAGAGAAGAGGGGGCCGATGGTAATAAAATTTCAAACCTTTAGCGACTAAACTCTTATTTGTCGATAAAATTTAAATTAAATATTACACTTTTTCTAAAACATTATACCTTTTCTGAAATTTTTTTTAAACTTATACCTTTTCGTCAAAATACTTTCACAATTTTGTGAAAGGTTACACCAATTTCTGAAAGTTTATACCCTCTCGTCAAAACCCTTGCACCATTTTCTGAAGGTTTACACATTTTACTGAAAGTTTATACCTTATATCATTTTATAAAAGTTTACATCCATTCTTGAAAATATTTTCACATTATTTAATTAATTTACCTGTAAGAGACTCGTTTAGCAGGTCACCAATATGTAAATTTTTAAAAAAATATCGTATAACTCAATACATAAAAGATGTAAATATAAAATAAAAAGGTCATAAATACTTTCCGTATTATATGCCAGACACACTTAAAAAAAAGTCTAATTTTTTATGGTGGGATTATTGCAACAATAAAATTAATCTGAAATCACACCGTCATATGTTTTATCCACTCGGTTTTTGGTTTCGAATCTCAATTATCAGAGAGAGAGAGAGGGAGAGGGGGGGAGGGAGACGACACGCATTAACGTACGCAGAACAGGAGAGACCAGAGGGAGTCTTGGGCATTGGCGTAGTAGGGACGATCGTCTATGCTATCAGTGCTCCCAAGTTCCAAGGGAGGCAGTAGTAGTAATACTAGTTGTAAAAGTACTGAGAGAATTGTTATATATCCATCCGAGTCCATCCAACCTAACCGGAGCAGGAACAGAAGCAGAAACAGAGAGAATATCCAGGAAGGAACAACGAGAGGTTTTGAATGGAGGCCACATCCTATATGAGGAGGAGGAACCCTCTGTTTCTAAGACCCAATGCCATTTCGAATATGAATATCAACAAGAAGATGAAGATGAAGATGAATTTTGCTGATTTTGGATTTCATCCGATGATCTGCCGCTGCTCCGTCGCCGGTGGGGATGTCTTCTCTGTCACTTCTTCCTCTAAGTCCGACGTCGATTATCTCGGTCAGAGCACCAAAGGCGACTTGAATCTCAATTTTGGTATCTACTCTCCCCACTCCCTCTCTCCACGTGTATTGCATTGTATGATATAATTAATTTAATATTATCAGTCAATTACGATGAAATAATATTTATGATTGGAATTGATTATTTGCCTGCTCACTCACTCACTTGATCAATCATTCTTGTTTTTGGCACTCTGTACTATTGTCTTTGCTTTTATTATTCTGCTCATTTAAAAATGACTTACAATGCATCGCTTGTTTGCTTGCTTCTGTCAACGAATTGCTCACTGCTTGCTTGCTCATTCTGTATGTTTCTTTTCTTTTTTGTTCATATATTTCTGGTAAAATGTAGTAACATGATAGGCTAACCTAGTCTTCTTTTTTTCTTTTGGCAACTTAGAAATAGATGCTCAATCAACTTTAGAGGGTCCAATTGAGGAGGTGGCCAGGGTGGAAGCTCAAGAAGCTGAGGACTTGCTTAACCACTTGGGGATTCAGGTGCATTGTACCACCCCCTTTCTTTCTCATTGTCATTTTCATTGCTGCTCATGTGTATATGTTTGATGAGTTTGTTTAAATATGAGAGAGAGAGAAAGAGAGAGAGAGATGCTTTTGATTTTTACGTCATTTTTGTTACCATATGATATGAACTTGTAATCAGAATATTCTTCAGCATAAACTTGAGTAGTTTGCACCAGACCTCAAAATGCTTGAATGCTTTTATCATCCATTACTATTAATGCCTAAATAGTTCTATTCATCGTTATACATTTGCATGCTGAGGTTCCGCTCCTTTTGGCAATTTTTGGAACCAGCTCAGGTTATTTATCAAAAAAGAAGTTATATTTATTGTTGATTTGGACCTGTTGAATTCTGATTTTTGCATGGCAAGTCTTCGCATTGCCTACTTATGACATTAGTATTGATGTGCAGAGTCCATTTTCTTCAAGACATTCTCGCCGTGGCATATTTTGTAGCCGCACATTGAATCTTCGGTCAATCAGTGCCATTGGATATGACATGGATTACACATTGATGCATTACAATGTGATGGTAATCATCTGTTCCACTACTCAATAGGAATTAACTGAAATAGCCATTATTATCCTTTTTTTATAGGTAAGGTAAGGAGTCTTGAACATGAGTCTCTTTATTGGGGGAATGTGACCAAAGCTGTTGGGGTATTCCATAGGGAATGCATGGTAGCCATAAATTCCTCTTGACTTGATTCAATTGTTTCATTTATGGAAGCAACCCATTTTGATTCTCTAGTCTCCTCCTGAATTGTACTTGCCTTGGAAAAACTAACATAGAAAGCAAGAACCGATGAGATATACCAAAGGGTGCCATAACTCGACACTGAATGTGGTTTAGCTATTCCAATTATTGGTTGCATGACAGCCATGTGTTTGTCTCATTTTCTTTACATACGTGCACATATATTAATAATTCATAGACTTGCTTTTGCTAATCAAATTGCATTGTGACGCATGCTATCTGATGTCTCAGCATGTTACTATGTCACGAATCACTGATTCCGAGGGGCTTAGCAGAGCTGACAATAAGAGAAAGATACTGAATACACAATGTTATAGTTCATATGGGTTCTATTCTTTCATATTATGCACTGATTTTATCACAAATACTTTCTAAATGCATATATATATGTATACATTTGTATGATGCACATTAAGGATTCCATTTGTTATATTTTTAATGCTAGCATTGGACTTGCATGATGCTATTCAAGTATCTTACCTTGAAGAATTTTATTTTTTATTTTTTATTTTTGTTATGCTTATAAAGTATCATGGTTATTACTGATGTACTTAATGAGCTGCTTCAAAAATGATTTGCTACTTTAGTTGGAAAGTCATGCATGGCACAACTTTACTGTTTTTCAGGCATGGGAAGGACGGGCTTATGACTATTGTATGGATAATCTAAAAAACGTGGGTTTTCCAGTTGCTGGACTTGCTTTTGACCCAGACTTGGTGATGTCTTTATCTATGTGCAAATTGATGAGATTATAGCTTTGTGAATTTTGTGGAGTTGTTGAGTTTGAATTGTTTGTACTTGTTTCTGAATGCATGCTGCTCCATTCTATTGTTAGGTAATCAGAGGCCTTGTTATAGACAAAGAGAAAGGCAACTTGGTTAAGGCTGATCGATTTGGTTACGTGAAGAGGGCAATGCATGGTACAACAATGCTATCAACTCGAGCTGTCAGGTATGTTCTGAATCTTTTCATTGTATTGATATGTGGTTTGAGGAAATCTGAGATAACTATTGCAGCATTGACTGAACATTGTCAAATGGTGGACATACAAAGAGCATGCTCCATCAAACAAGCTTATTAAATCTCCTATAAAATCTATGTAGCGATTAGTTGAGGTGATGGTATCAGATAATTCATATCTCCTTGCATGTGCATCATAGATAATGCTTTTCTGTGATAGACTACCTTAGCAGTCAGGTGCATGAGGAGCTTACATTTTTTAACATTTTATAATTTTGCGGCAAAGTTGGGGTAATATTTTCTATGGTGCCTGTTAACTTTCTATGCATGGAAGTGAGATGTATGGGAGGGAACTATTGGATCTGCGGAAGGAGAATCGCTGGGAGTTCCTTAATACACTATTTTCCGTTTCAGAAGCAGTGGCTTATATGCAGGTAGTTTACTCATTTGTTCAAGTAACTCTGTAAACATCTACCTTTACTATATTATTCTTGTCATGTAGACTTCATTAGTTTTGATACCTGTTGATGTTTATGGCCATGAGCTGTAGTTATGCATTAGGATGGCTTTCTTTTTCTTTTCTTTTTTCTTTTTTGAACTAAGCTACCCGATTATTTTTTCTCTCCCTCTCTCTCCAGGCGAGTGTGTGTGCATGCCTGTGTCATTAGGAACACCGGAAATGCTATATAACTATACCTATGTTAGCACTTGTTTGACATCTATTTATGCTGTACAACAAATATTTAAACAAGTCTTTACTTTTGCATTGTCTGTATCTTTCATTGTTGAACAGATTGTAGGAGGCTTTTAATGTGAGACCTTGGTAAAAAAGCTTATGCTTTATCAGTTAGGTGATTAGCCTTGTACTATTGTTATATGGTTTCACCTTTATAGGTTACAATATTACTTGTTCCACTCAAATAAGAAAAGCTATGTATTTTTTTCATACAGGTTCTGCTGAGCATTCTGCTAATACTGAAATGCTACATAAATGATGTAGATATTATGACCAGATTAGCTTTTTTGCCCCTTATGTGTGTTGATATCTAATTTTAAAAATTTCTTTAATCTCCCTGTCCAATTGTACGCAGTGGTCAATAAGTTTCATTTACTAATATGAAATCTTAGTTTTTTTGATTCAGATGGTTGACAGATTGGATGAAGGAGCTATAGCATCGGATCTCGGTCCACTTGATTATAAAGGGCTTTACAAGGCAATACATGTTAATAAATTCTATTTGGAATGGTGATATTAGCACATATCATTTATTAATAACTCTTGCTACTGGTTTCAGGCAGTTGGAAAGGCCCTCTTCAGAGCACATGTAGAAGGTCAGCTTAAGGTAGCCATTTTTTAAATGGATACTTAAGTTTTTAATGAGGTGTTTTGCAAGTACCAACTAATTACTGGCGTTTCTACAGAATGAGATAATGTCCAAGCCTGAACTGTTTGTAGAGCCTGATCCAGAGCTACCTTTGGCACTTTTGGATCAAAAGGAGGTATGTTCCTTATTATTTGTCATTAGTTCACAACATGTCAAATCTTTGAGTTGCTTTTCTTAGATCTCCAAGATTTAAAAAGATTCATCTTCAAATTTTGCTTGGGTATTCTGTTTCATCAGGCTAGCAAAAGACTCTTGCTTATTACCAACTCGGATTATCATTACACAGACAAAATGATGCAGCATTCGTTTAATAGATTTCTTCCCAATGATATGGGCTGGCGTGATCTATTTGACATGGTGAGTACACTTGTTTCATATATTTCTCCATAAACCACAACTCTGGCTCCCCCTTCTTTTAACTAACTCGCAATTAGGTTCAAGGTATTGGATGAAAGTTGCTCAATTTTTAATGGAGCGAGCTTGGTTTAAGGATCTCCTTGTCCTTGGAAACATTTTAGAAAAACAAGAATCTCATTTATCTGATGTCTTGTACATAAAGATTTATGGGGTGATTATCTTCCTTATTTGTTTAGAGATTGAAATACTCTTAATAAGAAGTTTTCTTTTACTCTCTAGCTCAGTGAATGTTTCAGTCCCTATTGGAAAATTCCAAAAAATGCCTTGAATAACTATATTAAGATTAGTCATTGACAAAGCTGCAAAAGCTCTTGTAGCATCATCATGTGTTCTTCTTGGTAGGTTATTGTCTCAGCAAGGAAGCCAGAATTCTTCCAAATGTCGCACCCAATGTATGAAGTGGTGACGGGTGAGGGTCTAATGCGTCCATGTTTCAAGGCTCGGCCAGGTAATTCATGCATTGAGCGTTAGCTCCTTTGCTTTTTAAATTAGTCTAATTTATATCCTAGTTATGAAGCATGTTGAAATTTTTGTCTTTCTGTGTCTTCTCATCTGAGAATGTTTCCTTTGGTTGATTCTCAACTAAGGTTGTTTGGAGAATATTTGTTTTCTGTGGGCTAATCTATGATCGAGCTGATTAGGATTGAACCACTGAAATAATGTTACATAATGAAAGTAAGATTAGAGGGGTTAGAGATGAGTGATGAAACATTGGTGTTGGGCTGCAACTCAAGCATGTGAAACCCCGAGCAACCTGAGTCCAACACAAAGCATTTTCGGGCTTGGGCAGTGTATTTTTGTTTTGAACTAGGCTTGGCTTGAATTTTTAAGCCGAAATTGATTACAATTGGGTTCTTCAATTGGTTCAGAAAACAAATGAGAGACAAGAAAACATCTTTGATTACGATTAAAAGGAACAATCTCAGATAGACCAGGATCCTAATTTGGGTAATTTCTTGGTGAACATGATCTCCCATTATCTCTTTGATTCCTTCATTTATTGCCAGAATATAGAGAGGTTTGGTCAGAAAGTTGAAGGGACTTTTTTTTTGTATATGATAATCAAAAGGGATTGGAAAGCTGCAGTAATTCTTTGGAAAAACCTGATTCTCTTTGTCTTTGAGCTTTTATTCCTCAATCCACTTTTTCATTCCTTCATATACCTCCCACCCATAGATAGAGACAAATGGGAATAACCGAACCACGTCTACAAAATGCTAGTACGATGCAACTGCTTCAAAGCCAACGTGATGATCCTTGGTCATATGACCAAGATACAGTCCTGGGTAGTTTCGTAGGGAAACCTGAGCACAAACAAATTAATAATGTTAATGTACGCTAACTATTTACCACATCTACTATATTTGCAGCCATTAGATGAAAAGAAGAAAAAAATTATTTCAAAGATTGCTAAATTCACAATGAGAGAGGGAGCTATGTACACAACAGTTTAGGCTATGTATTTAACGATCTTCTTTATTTTTTGCTAACCGATATCCAACAGACGATACTTTAATAAACAACCATATCTCCCACCTTGTGAAGTGGTTTGGTGACTGCTTGACCTTTGACAATCAACGTTGCAGTTTTAGCACCACAAAGCAAAACTAGAGTTGCCCAATGTTCGAGCGTTTTGATCCTTCAATTTATACCTGTAGTTCAATGAAGCCAAGATGAACTCACATCAATAAATGCCCACATCCATTCTAGAGTTTGACAAAATCATCTACCCCAAATCTTAAATATAATTTCTCTCTCCATAGCTTTCTCTCTAAATTCACTCTCTTATCCAACCAACCCCTGGAAATCTCAACTTGCTTCTCTCTTCAAATCATCCAATGAATTTAAGATATCTTTCTCGAACTATTTTTCTGTTTATGTCTAGTTCTGGGATGAATATCTGCTCTCTCCAGTCAAATATAAAAATGCACACATAGCACACAAACAGATATACCTTCTCTTTCTCTCTGAAGAAATAAAAGTGAGGATTTATGAGTATGCATGTAGTGGAAGATGTTAGGGGTTGAAAATGCCCTGCACCCTAACATCGTAAGCATTGTGCTCGACTCCCACATAACCCGAGGGTCTTTCTACAGCAGAAACCCAGCGTCCTTTCAAAGGCATTTGGCATGGGTATTTGGGTATTGCAGATTCAAGTTTTTAAGCAAGAATTCCATGTGATTTGCCATTGATTCCAACGAGGACACTTCTGCTGAGGTTAGTGCTCACATTGTTGTTACACAAAGATTTCTTCAGATGAGAAAACCGAAAAACATAGGCATGTATGAAATCAGCCAACTGGAGCTTAACCGGAGCTAATTATGCTGAGCTCAGGCTGGGAAGTTCAAGCTTTAAGGTCAGGCTTGGTGGGCCTGGGCAGGTCCTATTGTAAATTGAGTTGGGCTTGGACAATCTCCTAGCCCAAGTTGCACCCCTAGGTTTATTCTACCCAATGCAATGTGGGTGCTGTGCTGACTGCCAGAAGAGGTGTTAAAACCTATCACCTACTTCACCCACTTAAACCTACTCCACTAAACCTAACCCACTACACCACTACCACCTCCACTTCACCTACTCCTTACCTACTACACACTCACCCTCTTCTATATATAGGAATCATGAATCATTGTAATAAATCAATAAACATCAATCAATAATACATAAATTTTTACATTGTAATAAATCAATAAACATCAATCAATAATACATAAATTTTTACAAGAGGCATATTCACAAACAAATTGCATATAGAATGAATAAAGTATCAATTGGCACCTCAGGCATGTTCTTTTTGTTTTTTCTTTTATTTGCAGTTCAACCATTACTTGCTAATGGGGTAAGAAATTATTATGGCTGCCAGATGTGTTTGAAGTGACATCTGTTCTCTATCATGATTTAACATTTTTATTTTTTCATTATGGTACCTCCATCTGCAGGGGGCTTGTACTCCGGGGGCAGTGCTCAGATGGTTGAGAACTCCCTGAACATTCACGGTGATGAGATATTGTATGTTGGTGACCATATATATACAGATGTAAGCCAATCCAAAGTCCATCTACGATGGCGGACAGCTTTGATTTGTCGAGAATTGGAAGAAGAGGTTAGCTATAATTGCTATTTTCACTTTCAAGCTTTGGATTTGACATGAGGGGGGTCTAGCAGTCTGAAGAGGGGGAGGGTTATTAGTAATTTTTGGATGTCCAGAGCTTCTCTGTGATTGAAAATTTCTGTTGCAATAATAAGCATGGTGTACATATACAAGCAACTTGGAAAGCATAAAATTTCAGGAGAGATCTAGAGAGCACATAACAAAATGTTTTATCATAAAGTAATATGAATATTACTTTACATGGTGTACTTCTCTATTTTTTCCTCCCTATGAATCAACATACTTTTAGAAGTTTAATCCATCAATTGTGAGGGAAGCTTTTTATGTGGTTTTATATGCTTTCCTTGCTGAATAGTAATAGGATTTTCTTTGTCTGCTTTTAATTTTGATACTGCAGTATAATGCTTTGATTCATAGTCAAGGTCATCGGGCTGCACTGATAGAGCTCATAAATCAGAAGGAGGTTGTGGGGGATCTCTTTAACCAACTCCGGCTGGCTTTGCAGAGGAGAACCAAGGGGCGTCCTGCACAAGTAATTTTTGCAATGCTCTGTTAATCTGTTATATAGCTCTTTCTTCCTATTGTATATACTATGTTTGTTCTGCATTCTATTCACATAGTTATCCAATTTTTTAGTACTGTTTATGATGTTTCAATTGCCCTTTTTTAATATGGTTACTTAATGCTTGTAATGTGTATCATACTAGTGAACATACAACATAAAACGTACGGTCACATCTTTATGAACATCAATCCTAAGAGTTGAGTTGAATGTTACTTCGTTTTTGTTGTTATTTGAAGCAAGTAACTTGCAAACACATCTTCTTCTTTTTTTTCTCTCTCTCTCTTGAACTTGTTTCTCTTTAATGTCATCCGATCCTTGTTACTTTTCTTCCCCTTTTCCACACTTACAGACAACTTAGAGAAAGTTGCCTTCCTCATTTCACTATTTTCATTAGGCTTTGTATGATACACACTTTTGCTGTGGCTGAAATACATAGTGGAACACAGTTCATTAGAAGGATGGTCAATCAAATTTACTTGTCCTAAGAGTATCAGCTCTATTCAACTGGACTTATCATTGTCTTAATCTATGTGGCAAGGATTTCTTTATCTAATGTGCTCTTTAATGGTACTTTTTGTTGAATAGAAAGCTAGTTTTTTGCTTGAAGCATATTTCTTTTTTCTTGGCCTTTCAACTGTCATTATAGTGTCTTCAACTTGAATTATTTCACTTATTTCTGATATTGTCCTTGGTCTTTATTGAACATGTTGGAACTTTTTATTGTTAAAAAAAATATTTGTTTAATTATAATATTAGAAAATATAGTTGATTTTGTAAGAGTTAGGACATTTAGTGAACCAGCGTCTTAAGTGCCAAAAGGTACGTCTTTTATGACTATATAGACATTGTGTTAAGAGTCATCACTTATTGTTGGATGGGTACAAGGATCCTAGAGTTGTGTCTTTTATAAGTAGATGCAAGAGCCTGATGGACAGGTCCTATCATGAGTGGTTGCAACCTTACAAACTCTATAAAAAAGATGGGAAGGGATCCAAGACATTTTATAACATCATCATTTGTCAAGTAGTTGTGGCCAAAGTCTCAATAGTCTTAGGAAAGTTCAATGGAAAAGTTTTCAGAATTTCTATCTGCAGGTTTTCAATGTAAGGGATTTGTTGTATGCTGGAGTTGACTTTTCTATTTTCTGTTTGCTAACTCTGTAAGAGTGGGGGCAAATGACACCTTAAAGTCAGCATTACTATATGCCCCCCAAAGCCACAAATTAATTAAAAATTTCTTAATTAAAATTATTTCCTGTCTTCATTAATTGATTCTGTTCTTATATTCAAACCCCCATCGTCCCAACAATACATGGCCTTATTTTGTTCACCAAACTTAGCATTCTGTCACTTCGTCATCAAGTGGTGCTCCTAGAACCTCTTGTGGATGCACTCTTTCTAATTTATCCAATATTAGCCCATTCATGATATTTATTTCAGTACTGCTCATGTCAAAACAATTTAAAATTGAAAATTTTGGAATGTGACTGTAGTGACGGTAGAAGTAGAAACAATGGAGAAGTAAAGATTGAACACTAGGAGATAACAAATAATGAATATTTTCGTTACTTGTGTTAGATTATTAATAAGGATGGTGAGCTTAGTGAGGATTTGATCTATAGAACCAAAGTAGGTTGGCTCAATTGGAGGAGTGTGTCTAACATATTATGTGATCTGCAAAAAAAAAAAAAAAAAAAAAAAAATGAAAGGAAAATTTTACATGTCTATAAGGCCAGCGATGCTGTACAAGATAGAATATTGGGCAAATAAGAAACAACATGTTCATAAATTAAGTATAGTTGATATGAGAATGTTTGGATGGATGTGTGATAATATTAAGAAAACTAAAGAGAAATGAATATATTCATGAAATGGTAAGAGTAGCACCAATTAAAGATAAGTTGAGAGAGAATAAATTAAGATGGTTTGGTCATGTACAAAGAGAACGTATAGATGCAATGTTAATGAGAAGTGATATGATTACCATAAATGAAAATGTTAGGGGAGGGGAAGACCTAAACTGGCTTGGGATGTGACGGTAAAAAAAAGATATGAATTAATTTAATTTAGCTGAGCATATCGCTCTTGATAGAGTACAATGGCCAAAAAAGATTCATGTAGCCGGCCCCACTTGATTTAGACACAAGGCTTAGTTTGGTTTGGTTTGGATTGGTTTTTGTTTTTTTTTTTTTAATTAAATATCCGATTGCAGGTTTGCTTGTAATTGTGTATTTTGTTAATTCTATTGTTCCTCATCAACAACAAAACCCTAGAGAGCGCTTCTTTACTTGATCTATTCCAAATGTGTCATTATAATTTATGTCTACAATCACCACGTATTATAGGTACGTTTATCCTAGGTAGTGAGAATGGTTACTTTGGGGTCTAGCTCATCAATTATAACTATTTGCTTGTTTGTAATTGTTTTACTAAATCATCTAATGATTCTCAGGCATATTTCGTTCCATAGTTCTAAACCTTACTTTATTCTCACACACATTAGTTCATGCCTTATCACAATAGTCAGGGCTACCATTTTCATGAAAACTCGAAGTAAGAGGACTTTCCATATAGTTGTTTGGATGTGGGAGAAGATGGAAGTAAAGCTTGTTGAGGACGAGTTAAACTTGAGCCCACAGATTTTATTTAAAATAAAGAAACATTTATAGTTTATTTCAATGAAATTTTTTTTTTCGTTGCTGTTAAAAAAGAAGAAATATTTATAGTGATTGTTTTCCTTTCTTGCACTGGACGTCAGACTATCAAGGCAAATTTTTATTTCTATGCAAATTTCTTGGCTTTTCTGTTAGTTGTTATGCTGTGTCATTTAATTGATTTGAACTTGTAATAACAGATGCTAGATTTAATGAGTCTAGGAAAAACTAAAATTGTAAAGCAATTCTTTTTTATAAGGTGGTTGATATTTTTTTCACTGTATGTGTTCAGACCCTTGCTGCAACCAATATGAATGATGAAGAACTCACGGAAAGCATACAGAAGCTACTTATTGTTATGCAAAGACTAGACCAGAAAATAGCTCCTATGTTGGAAGCAGATGGAGAGCACTTCAACAGAAGGTAAGTCAAGGTTGGAGAACTTGTAGCTTTTAATTATTTTCCTTTCTTGCAATTTATATCAGGTGCCAGCAAGTTCCCACCTCTCATTATTGTCTTGAGGATATGTTGATAATTCAGTTAAATTTTGTTGAACTTAATATATGGAACCTGGGTCAAAAGTTGCCAAGGTAGATCTATTCACGTTTCATGACTTGGTTAACCTTGGCTATTTTGGCACATGGAATGGTGAGTTAAGAAGCGTTCTCCTCGACCTAATTGGTGTATACAAAGCTGATGGCAGTCAGCTAGGCTTCACTTGAAACCTGATCCTCAATGTACAAATAGAAAATCATGGTTATTCAGCCTCCGTTTATATTGAAAAGCACACATATTAAAAATTAGGGTAAATTACAAATACACCCCCTCAGGTTTTCTTAAAGTACATATTGTCCCCTGTAAACCAAACCAAACCAAACGAAGCCTTAAGTCCCATCAAATGGGGTTGGTTACATGAATCATTCTTCTCCACGCGGCCCTATCAAAGGCCATTTCATTGGTCAAATTAAGTAGATTCATATCTCTATTTATAACGCTAGTCAACGTTAATCTAGGCCTACCTCGTCCCCTAACACTTCCATCTACCGTTACAGCATCGCATCTCTTCACTACTGCCTCTGTTGGTCTCCGTTGAATATGACCAAACCATCTCAAACGATTCTCTCTCAACTTATCTTCTATCGGTGCTACTCCTACCCATTCCCGAATACACTCATTCCTAATCTTGTCTTGTCTAGTCTTACCACACATCCACCTTAGCATCCTCATCACAGCCACACTCATCTTATCTACATGTTGTTTCTTAGTTGCCCAACACTCCGTCCTAAATGAAGTATCTTAAGCATGCAAATACAAGACTTTTTTCAGTTATACACAAAGTCTAAAACAAAAAGCAAGATAGGTCAAAAGCCAATGCAAGATTCGGGAAACTAAAGTAAACTGATTACCCTTGGAGAACCCTTGAAGAACAGTTGGTTCAGCCACCCTCTACTGACCAAAATCAGTCCAAAACCTCAACAAACAACCCTCAAAGTCTCTTAAAGTCGAAGTAAGGTGTGGTAGTGTGTGTGTTAGTGCAAGACTAAGGTAAAAATGCACTTTTAGGCCACAAAACACACACAAGGGAGGAGAGAGAGGGAAATATATAGAGAGAGAGTGTGTAAGTATATGTGTAAGCTCTGGGTTTTTCTTTCAAAAATTACCAACCACCACCGGCCATGGGAAATTTCCATCAGCTGCTTTCAAGTATATTGGCCACATATTCTTTTCCGGTCGGCATTAAACACTGCCGATTGGCCACAAATTCCTGGATGATAATGCAACTCAAAATCATAATCATCCATAAACTCTATCCATCTTTTTGCCCTAAATTTAAATCTTTATGTGAAAATAGATACTTCAAACTCTTATGATTGGAAAAGGACTCAAATCTTTCATCATACAAGTAATGCCTCCAAATCTTCACGGCTAATATCATTGCTGCTAGCTCTAAGTCATGAGTAGCATAATCTCTCTCATGTGTTTTCAATTGATGTGAGTCATAAGCTACTATCTTCCCTTGCATCAAGACATAATCCAAACCTTTTCGAGATGCATCACAATACACAAAATAGCCCAAACCCCCTCTCTGGAATAATCAACACTGGAGCTGTGGTAAGTCTAACCTTAAGCTCTTGGAATGACTTCTCAAAAGTCTTATTCCACACAAACTTTATTCCCTTCCTCACTAGTCTAGTCAAAGGTGAGGCTAACTTAGAGAAATCCTTCACAAACCAACGGTAATACCCAGCTAGCCCCAAGAAACTATGAATCTCAAAGGCATCCTTAAGTTGTTCCCAATCTTGTACTGCTTCTATCTTGGAAGAGTCTATAGTTACCCCTTCCCCGGATACCACATGGCCTAAGAACTTCACTTCTTTCAACCAGAATTCACACTTCCTAAACTTAACATACAATTTGTGGGCTCTAAGCAACTCAAGCACAACTCGCAAGTATTCCTCGGTTCCTCCTCAGAGGGTGAGTAAATCAAGATGTCATTAATGAAGACAACCACAAAACGGTCTAGGAACTCACAAAAAATCTATTTCATCAAATTGATAAACAAGGCCGGTGCATTGGTTAACCCAAAAGGCATCACTAGGAACTCATAATGGCCATAGTTCCTTCTCGACTTGGGTCGCCTTGTCCTCGGCTTCATTTTTCTGCGCTTCGGCAACTTTCTTTATAGCTTCAGCAGCCTCGGCCTTTTCTTCGGCCAAAGTTTGGGCTTTAGTGGCAGCCTCGGCCTGGTCTTCCAATTTCTTCATTTTTGCTTGAAGACCCTTGTTGATCTTCTGGAGTGCAGAATACTCCTTCTGCAAGTCAGTTAACTTCTCCCTATTCTCAAAAGATTGTATTGAGAAGGAATGGGCATGCTGAACAGCCTAAAAAAGCATAAAACAAAAGTTATTACAAAGTTTACAAATATGAAAAGATGAAGAAAGACGGGTTACCAAGTGAAGAAACATACTTGAACACAGCATTGAAGCATCAGAGCATAATTTCGTACTCGCTCATCTCGGTGTTCTTCTCCAGATCACCTGGGAGAAGAAGAGCTGTACTAAGGGCAACACCGACATTGATGTCACCGGCACTATCACTAGCCAGGACAGGCTTATTCTCCAAAGTAATCTCGGGTGTCCAGGGGACTTTTGGTATTCTTGACCCCGAGGTCGTCGCAGACGATGACCTCGGCTTCTTTGATTTTGTGGATTCTGATGGCTAGGTTTCTGAGCGCCTCTTCCCAGCAGAGGGTTGAGGTTTGTCACTCTCCGCCAACCTTGAGATAGGCAGGGTATCCTCAGACTCAGTCTGAGTAACTTTAACCTTGATTCCTACCCCATTCCTGCGTCTATCCTTACCACTATAATAAAGTTTAAAACCAGTATCCTCAATTTCCCTAGCTTTCTTTCCCGTCCACTTAGTTTCTTGTATGCAAGCTATATTAACTCTCCTCCTAATCATAACATCTACTAATTCTATCGTCCTACCAGTTAAGGTTCCTATGTTCCAAGTGGCTATCCTAAACCTATAGTCTTGGACTAGCTTCTTTACCCGCGCTCGTCCAGAAAAACGCGGAAACCTTTGCCCATTTTTCACCGCACCCAGGCGTCGATGCGGCGCCCCTTGCTCACTTTTCGAAACACCCGGAGGCAGGCGCAACGCGTCACTTGAGGGGAACGACCTAGCATTTAAACGATTCAAAGTAGGATTCATTTTCATAAGGGATCCGAGCGGCTTTTTTACGTGTTGGCTGTCGGCTACCTAACACACAACCCTCCTTCTTAACCCGGGCTTGGGACCGGCGGAGTTGTTAACAACCCCGGCAGAGTTACATATTGTCCCCTGTGATTTGGAAAATTACAAATACCCCCTTGTTAGAATTTTTTATTTAACAAAATTAACTAAAAAAAATGAAATTTGTAATTGCTTTCCTATACAATAATAAAATTACCTAAATTATTAATTGAAACATATTTTTAACATCATTAAAAACTGGTAATTGACTTGATGATTTATTAATAAAAAGGGCGATTTGTTATGAAATTAGAAATCTCAGGAGGTGGAATATATTTTACAAAACCACAGAGGGCGATTCGTATTTTAATTAAATCTCAGAGAGTGTATTTGTAATTTACCCTAAAAATTAACTTGTTGAAATGAGCATTTGTTGAATCTATGTTGCAAAATTAGCATTGGAGTTAAGTTATGTACCTAGAAAATGACAAGTTTTGATAGGGCTAATGTGAAAATATTTATTTTAAGTTCTTAATCCTTTATTTAGTTGCTGAGAATAAATGAGAAAATAACTTGGGACCTTCAAGGCTCCAAATCTGTCTTCCTTCGCTTCGAGGCTCCAAATTTATTTAGCTATCGTCGATGGTAAAAATAATAATACGAAATAAAATGAGGAATAGTGGTGACAGCATTTGTTATTGGTTAGTTTGTTCCTGTCTCTGTCTCCCTCTATCGCTGTGCTAGTGTGTGTATGCAGTTTGATGAATTTGTACTTGGAGTTGATCTGCTGACCCTCTTTTGTGTTAGGTGGGGTTTTCTTTCACGTGCAGGCCTATGGGACAAAAGCCATTTAATGAGACAAATTGAGAAGTATGTGCTACTGTTTTAATATTTTTGGTTCATTTTATAACATCTGGTATTCCAACCGTGGTGGTAGCTGTAGTTGGAATACAATTTTGAATGTTCTTTTTTGGAATAGTTTTTTTTTTTAATTTTTAATTCCATTAAATTACAGGTATGCTGATATTTATACCTCAAGGGTCTCAAATTTTCTTCATTATACACCCTTCATGTATTTCCGTTCACAGGAGCAGGTATTCAAGTATATATGGTTTTCTTGATTATGTTTTCACATTGATTTTCCTTGTACAGTGCCGTTGCATTATTAATCTAGAACTGAGCCCAACATATGCTGGAGATGATGTAACAAAGTTTCTTTCTTGGATGTGTATCTTGGTAAATGCATGCAATGGTTTTTATCTCTGTTGTATTGTATTTGATTTATTCGCTTAAACACTTTTAACATGGCCTCTTTATTAGTAAAATCATTAGTCCACCTTGTACATGTCCAAACCTTCCTAGATAACTTGGTCTCATATAATTCTCAATTGACACTAGTCACATTACCCTTAGCTTCTCAGTAGTGAAGAGTGATTTGATTCAAGTTGAAGGAACAAGGACAAGAGGAAGCTAAAAGTAGTTAGTAGTTGTGGGAATGAGAGCTGATACGGGCCGTTGATATCACTTACAACATGCACAAGATAGAATTTGACGGCAAAGGATTTGTTTGGCTTATCCTATTTTTTGGGATTCTAAGGGTTGTTATTTATTCTTAATAGAGAGTTGTGGGTGTGAATGTTTGGTAGGCACCAAGCTGGCACCAGACCACCAGAAGTGGGGGAGGTGAGAGCGACAGTGATGAATTTAGTTTCATACAAACTAGTAGTACATAATGTACTAGTAAGAAAATGGTATGAAAGGGGGTTGAATTCCATTCTGACCAATTCTGATTGTACCAGTTTGTACTGGGTATGCCTGTTGATTTTGGGTTGTTCCTGCCTGTACTCGTACGTACTGGGATTATTATTTGTCAGTTGTAGGATTTAATGAAGGAAAAAAGTGGTTAAAACCTAAAACAATAATTTCAATCTTTTATTCAAAATGTACTTAAAGTGTGCTAATTGTACCGGATCTAATGTTTAAAACTAAAGGCAATATATTTTGTAAAATTAATAATACATTACAAAATATATTACTATTTGTATGCATCATGAACTATCACGTCTAACAAAAAATTAAATACTAAAAGTGGTATGTTCTTTAAAAGTAATAAAAGTGGTATACTTCGTAAACATTGGGAATAAGTAACTGATACAGTTAGGAATGTTGATCTTTTCTAGAGACTTATAAATCCAAAATACTTAATAAATATATGACTTTTGGTGAATAGTGTTAACTTTTTAGCTTTTTGAGTAACTTTTTGACTTTTTGACTTTTTTGGATCTTCCCAAACTTGGCCTTATAAATCCAAAATACTTAATAAATATATAAATAGTGATAAATCTGAAACGGTATGCTGAAACACATCTCCCGATGACAAAAACGGTATGCTGGCTATTTTGTGTTGACAACATGGTAGAGTGAAGGCGGTCCTAGATGAAGAGAGGGAGAGAGCTACAATGGAGAGCTTCTGAGTTACTGGAGGTGATGGAGAGTGGTGGTTGGTTGTCTCTCGTGCAGGTCTCTTTGTATAGGAGAGCCGAGCCATGAGTGTCAACATAGCCATGGATGGTAATCTGTATGGTTTTTTGGAATTATTGTTGACTTCTGTGGAAGCCACAATCCACATTGATGCATTTCCTGTAAAAGAGAGAAGCTTTAAGTAGTGCTTTCTAAAACTAAGTTTGACCTGTGTGTATTAGTTAAAGAGAGAAGCTTTAAGTAGTGTTTTCTAAAACTAAGTTTGACCTGTGTATTATTTAAGATGTTAGTATCAAACCTTGACTTCAAATTTGTCTGCTTTTGTTCTTTTCCAATTCTGATTTTGAGTAAGAGGGAGAAATTGAACATTTGTACAGGGCCACCTCTTTCTAGCTCTTGTGTTTTCCAACTGTGTTTCATGTCATTTTATTTCGTCTTTTGAGTGCAGATGACCTTATCTTTCGTTATGATATGTTATTTTTTGTTTGGCCCCTGATGCAGACACTTGCTCATGATTCGTACTCGTGCAACCGTTTGGAGCTTAATAAGTCAGCTGATGACAACTTTGGCAAATACTCTGCTTAAGCTAAGCATGGGGTATTCTTTTGCCGTACTTTAAAAAAAAAAAAAAAATTCTTCTTTTTATCGCATGTTAATGGCAATGTGGTGGGAAGTTGATTCCCAATACCATCAGAATGGTGTATTTATTTGTGGAAATGAAGTAATCTATGGTTCCGCTGCCATCTAGCTCTTGATCTAAATAATATACAGCTTGTCTGTAACATTTTTTACCACGCAATTGCTGGCCATCTGGTTACATAGTTTTGGTTGAGCACCAACCAACAACTGGAAGTAGAGATGGGGAAGACAAGATGTTAAAGGCAGAAGCAGTCCAAGAAGAAATGGAGGGGTGATTATTGCATACGTACTGCACTTACAGATACAGAACAATTCTCAGAGAGAGAGATAGATGTATATTTTAATTTGTGGGAAGCTCATATAATATGGTGTGGCTCAGATAGGTTTAGGTGTTTGTTCTTGGGAAGCCTATTTATGGCTATCCAATCCTTTACAGAGGCCATGGCTGCTTTAGTTCTGAATCAAAAAATGCTGTTTTTCGTCTGTATTGTCAATGTGATCCCTGCATTTGTAAGTACTTGAAATTTTGCTATGTAATTGACTTAAAATGGATTGTGGTGAGTAGCTAGGTCGGAGAACAATTTGTTGCAAGACACAAACAAACAAAACCAAGAAGAAGAAAGGGAAAACAATTTGATCATGAAGGTTGTGATTGGGACTGGGTGGTATGGGTTTAACTTTTTAGGGCTTGATGGTTGATGAAGTTTCTTTTGGAAACAAAAAAAAAAAAAAAAAAGAGAGAGAGAAGAAGATTCTCTGTAACTTACCTTTCTTATGAAATTTGATTTGAGTTCTATTAACCAATAATTAGCTTAAAAATGATTCAATATGTTCAAAGTATTATTATGATGTGTATTGGTACTCTTAATCAATGAAGCTATAAAAGAAAAAAAAAGCCACACAAAAAAGATGAACGCCATTGATTTTATATTTCACTCAACCAATTAAATTGGGTCAAGTCAACTAAAATACAACTGCACTAATTTTCTTATTAATGCTCTTATTAATTAGAAGCGCCACAATAACATTGATATTTAGAAAGTACTAAATAATAACTCAATCAATCTAGGTTTGAGTTTGGAAAAATTATACACTATGTCTTTGTAGTTTGCCTTTATTGTATGTTTCATTTGGTATATGATAATAAGCCAACTTAAAAAACTCATTATGCTAAAAACATGTTAAATCATGTGACATATCTAGTTAATTATCGCTAAAAACTCAATTTTAACTACTCTAAAAAGTTTTTTTTTTAAAGAAATGTTAGGAATATGCTACTGAAATTATTTTTTAGCATTATTATTATTTTGGCAAACACCCAAATGAAGTCTCACATTGGTTACTCGCCCAAAAAAAAAGTCTCAAATTGGTTTTATATTATACTAGCATATAATCCGTGTTTTATGCACGAAATAAAATAATATATTATTTAATAAAAACATTATAATTCTATTTAATTTTTTTATATTATGTAAAATAAAAGTTAAATAGAAGTTAGCTAATTTGAATTTTCTTAATTGTTTAAAATTAAGAAAATCAAAAAAATTAGTATGAGATATTGATCATAATGCTTCTCACTAAAAATCGCATTTTGTTTATATAAATTGGGGTAAAAAATTCACTTTATGTAAGTGGAATAATTCATTTTTTCCTTGTGATTATAAAATAAAAGTTAAATGACAGTTAGACAATGGGAATTTTCTTAATTGTTTAAAAGTTAACAATTATTTGGGTGGGAAGTTATTTTGAATCAAGCAATCTTAGCCGTTTAATTTTTAATTAGGTCAATCTTCAATTTTTTTCGAATCAAAAAAATTTAACCAATATATTTTGATAAAATCGCTAAGATCACAGTTAAACCAGCTAATCAGTCAAACCGAAAACAGTTCACCCTATCGGTTAGGTCAAAAGACCAACCAACTTACACAAAAATTAATTAATTAAACCTTTTACATTTTATTTTAATTTTAAAATTTAAATTGTCTTGAACTGAAACATACACAGCACTACAATATTAAATGGAAGTATGGGGTTTATATAGTGAAACAACTCATTTTTTCCACCTTTTCCTTGTAGGGGGGTTCAAGGTTAGAGAGGTGATTAGAGAGGCAAAACTATACTAATGGTTCGATAATAGTGGAAGTGACTGGAGAATGAATAGCAGCAACTATCTGGAAGTTGAAGAGTGTGTAGCTAGGTGATGGTGAAGCAAGTGGCTCAAGAAGAAATATATGGCAGTGCCAAAATGGGCAGCATCTCCCCAAAATCCCCAAAATTCCTTCTTTAGAACCTGGGGAAATGGGTCATATTTATAGGCTTTTCCTCAGTGCCAAGAGGACACCAAGTGGCCAAATAGAGAGAAGACATGTATCCTAGAGGATCACATGGAATATTCTTCCTTGAGCCACCAAGCTAAAGGTGCCACGTGTCCCTCTGCATGCACTGTGTATTATCTGTTTGCCTTCGCAACTACCTTTTTGAGCCTCAGCAAGTATAGTTGCGACGAGAGTGTTTGGCGTTACTACTCCTTTTTGAGCCTCAGCAAGTGCAGATGCAGTGAGAATGTTTGGCTTTGCCCTTGCCTTCTCAGCCTGAACCTCAGCAAGTGCACTTGCAGCGGTGAACCTTGCCGTTGCACTTGCCTTCTCAGTTCTATTTGGCCAGTACATGCATTCTCAAGACTCCATTAGCCTGCTATCAGCTATGTTTGTATTCACTTCAGCGAAACCTCTACCCTTAGCCACCTAACCACAAACTCCCCAACTTCCCAAGGCGAAAGCCACAGCCAAGCCTGCTATCAGCCATGTTGTGCCTTAGTACCAAGCCCAACGGGGCTTCCTTAGTTCTGCATGTGCGACTAAGGCAGGTCCATGACCTAGGTAATGGAAAGGGAGTCCCTTATGTTCAGGCTACCCTGTTCCCATCTTCGCGGGATAGCTGCGGTAAACTGGTATCTCTGGGCTTACCATAAGCTCTAACCAGAAAGTCTTGGGGCCTGCTATCAGTGCCAAGTTAAATGAACTTTGGAGAAGGGGCTTGCTATCAGCACCAAGCATCAGCCTCTAGTTGCAGAGGGAAGCCTTTCTCAAAGGCTGCTATCACCTTGGTAGGATATTCTCTCTACAACTTAGTTGATGTGGTCATAGTTGCTACGGTAACCATTTCCCACGGCGAGTCCAAACTGCAGAACCGAGAATATTAGAGATGGCAGCACCGACATAATGCCTCCGCAACTTAGTTGTGTCAGCTTTTTCTTTCCTTTAGCAACTTCGGATGGCGGCGAGACTGAAGATATTAGGAATGGTGGCGCTAAGGCAAAGTGCCTCAGTAACTTCCCCACTGCATGTATTGCCTCTGCAGCTTGACCGTTGCATGTGTTCCCTCTACAACTTGACTTGGTCATTTTCCTTCGTGGAGTCCATTTGGACCCTTGGCGGGTCGAACCTACTTCGGCCCACTTCCCTTTGGCTTTAGCCCATGCTTCATTTTCCATTCATGGTCCCCTTTTTTGGGCGACCTCAGTACTTAGGCCCATACTTAATTTAGGGCTTAATTTCTGACTCTCTATATTTGCCCCCTGTGCATGTAGCAGATATGCTCTTGGTTTCCTGCGCATGCATGACGCCAGTAAATAGCCCAAGGGTTGCGTCGGTTGGGTCAGAAGTTGCGTTAGCTCTAAAAAGGTGCCGCCTTTTGATTGACAGGTCATAATAGGCCTAAGGAAGCGTGTCGGCGCCCTTTTGCTACATTCTTTATAAATAGCACCCTTGGGTCCACTGGTCCCCCACTTCTGCCCAAATACACTTTCTGTCTCCTTGTATTCTTCTCTTCCTTGTCTCCACTTTCCAATGTCTTTTTTACCTTTCTTTATTCTTCCTCATGGCCAGCACAAGGTTTTTACCCGACAGGGCTGCCCCACCCCCTACTGAGTGGAGGAGGGCCCCATACTTCGGAGGGCTGGCTGATCCCTTCTGGAAGGTAGTTGACTCCTTCATTCCTGATGCCCTCCCCCTGGAGGAGCCTCTGCTCTATTTTGGAGAGGCTACTTTGGATGATGCTGACATGGTGAACCCAGTCTCTGTATTGCAGTTTCACGTGGAGTGTGGTGATTTTCCCTATTTATACATTTACTATCGCACCCACTCGGGCCCCCCAGTAGACTGGTCCCTTTAGGTCGATGGCATTATTGCAGATGGTGGATTCGAGCAACATTTATGGGATATTTGTCACTTCAATGCCATTTTGATTTCAAGGGAGTTATCAGTGCGCAAGGTCCAGACGAACACCGATATGGTTGTCTCCCACTGGAGCCGCAACACTCACACTTTTGCCTTGGTATGGGGGAGATAACTCCAACCCTCGAAGATGTTGTTGTCCTTCTGCACTTGAGCACCTGTGGAGATCACCCCTTTGATCCAGCGTCCTTGACTTCTGCAGAACAAGTTGTCGTTACTGCCCTCTAAAGCGTCTTTCGGGAGGTGCAAAAGTATGGCTCCTGGTATGACCTTAGGACTAGGGAACTGCTCCAGGAGAGACCTAAGAGGGACAAAACAACCTATCTTTCCTGGTTGAAGCATTTCTTTAAGGACCTGCAACTAGTTGTGGGCAACATCACGAAGGAGAACCGCGACTCCGTAGTTGGGCCGGGCTACCGCGGTGACTTGTACCTGGCCGCCTTCGTCAGTTATTTCATCTTCTTTTTTGTTCTTTCTATCAACCCTGTCGAGAGCATCAATCCCCTGGTATTTCCTTTGGCTGTCAAACTCTACAGCGATAGTCAGATCCCTTTGGTCCCTCTCTTCTTGAGGAACTTATACTTCCGCCTTGACCTCAGCCATTCGGACATAAAGTAATCCATGGACCACTATGATGTGTGGAGCTTTGTACACACACAGTTCCTAACTACTTTTTTCTATGAGAGATTCTCTGCTGGAGTGTAGACACCCCATTTTTGACCGTCCTCAAGACTTGGACGTCATCGTTTGAACACTCGATGATCATCCATACTCGTGTTCGTTTTGAGTTCCCGAAGGTCTCGGCTACGCGCCTTGCCTTAGGATCTCTCAACTTGTCTGTTTTGTGCTTGGTTATGGACCAAGGACTTGTGGTTTTGCTTCTGAGGGAAGAGGGTGGCTTGTTTGCCATCCCCTCAACCCATCGGCCAAGGCTTGAAGCCATTGGCCTTGTTTTCTTTCCATCGGCCAAAAGTGTTGGCCGGTCGGCACTTTTGTTGGTCAGTCGGCACTTATGTTGGTCGATCGGCCATATTTTTTGGCCGAGCCCTTTCCATCTGCTTTTTGCAAATATTTTGTGCCAGCTGTGACAGCTGGTATGCACAATTCTGATCCTCCATACACGTGTATGGAGAAATTTGCCCCAAGACTCAAGCTTGTTCAACAAGCTTGAGAATTGGATTTCTATAAGAAGGGAGCCTCTCCTCCCTTTCCAGAGGTTCAGCAAAATAGATATAGAGTTCATATATCCCTCTATCTCTATATATCTCTCTCTATATATTTGTGTGTGTGTTTGTGACGTAAAGTGTGTTTTTGTTCATACTTTTGCACTAGAGCACCTAGTAGAGCACCTTCCTTTGGTTGCTGAGGCACTAGAAAGTTGGTTTCAGAGTTCTTGGGCTGGTTT